GTGCCACCTAGCACATTCATGTAGTGCTGGTGTGCTCAGTGTAGCCTTCCTAAGTTATCCTGTGGTCCTTTTGCACGTCACTTTAGGCTCTGACCCTGGATCCTGCTCTCAGAGAGTGGGGACCAGAGTTAGTTCCATGCTCAGACACTCATAGGGCAGAAGAACACCGCTGAAACCCTGGGGATTGCTGGCTTCGTTCATAGTGACAGCTGGAGAACTCTTTGAGCCTCTCCATTCACTTTACAGGAAAGCACACCCCAGCGGACGGTTTGGAGGGCCCTGTAGGGACTCAGTTTGCCCTCCCATCCTAGCACCTGCACTGGCTTTCCAGACAGACACTCAGAGGGGCCTGGAGAGAGGCTCATTATAGATGGAGTGCCATTTTGCTGACACAGGCAGACATCACATTGGCGTACTGATGGCATGCATGCAACCTCTGGGGGACCTGGGAAGGTCATGGTACCTCTGTGTCCCACATCCCACAGGTCTGAGGAGTCTTTTGGAAGGAACTAGGTAGTCTGTCAATTCCTTGGCTGAGGCCAACCCTGAGGGAATCCCCAGGAAGAGGACCCCACACAGTGATACCTGACAGGAGCCTCTGGGCCTGTTTCAGTCACTCGTTCAAGACCATGACAGGGGGCTAGGGGTGGGTGACAGGGTTGGATGGGACTTGTATCCTGACAGGGCTGGTGTGTTTGCAAGCCATGTCCTTCTGACTTTAAGGGAAGGTAATAGAAAGAGTATGACATTACATTAGGTGGCACCAAGCACCAGGGACAGGTCCCCACGTCCCATAGCAAAGCAGCTAGCTATGCCAGGTTTCAGATACTACTTCCAAGCCACCTGCATGGCTGGATCTGAAACAGCCATCACACCTGCACACAAGGTCATTACAGACGACAACTCAGACTCTCTCCCTCTCTCTTCTTCCCAGTTAGAATTCAGCTGCGAGCCAAGGGAAGCCAGCCATGGGGCTCAGCAAGGGCATCCCTGAGCCCTGGACACAATTTTCCAGAGTGGTCTGTGGCCCATCACACCCAGGGTGCGGCCCTGCTGTGCCCCAGGGGCACAGAAGCCCTCTTGCCCCAGTTCCTCCTATCTTCCCCTCATCTGTTGGGCTGAGACTCAAAACCACAGGGCCCTGGACTGAAGCCCCTCCAGCTCTACTCTCTCTTGGCTCATGGACTGATCAGACTCCAAGTCAGAGGGGCCTTTGCATGGCCATTCCTTTCTTGTAGGCTCCCCTCTGTGGCATCTCCAAACCCCTCTGACAGCAAGATGCAGCATGCCTTAGAAGGCCCATCCAGGCCACTCTCATCTGGCAGAGCACTAACAGCAAGGCTGCCCTATTTTGTGCACTTATGGGCTTTTGTCACATGGACTCTGAAGGCTCTTTCCTGGCATCTTCCTTGGGTTTTATAAACTGTTTGGGGCTACACCATTCCCACTGCCCAGAGAAGCGTACTGAGACCACACTGTGGGGTCACTGTGAAGCAGGACTCTGGGCAGAGTGTGGCCATCAGAGCCACAGATAAGACATTGCCCACTGTGTTGCTCTGGTGGAAACGTAATGCAAAATCAGCTGCTGGAGGGGTTTCTGAATTTGCTTGTACCCCCAAGTGAGAAAAACGAGGCTGTCTAGTTGGAAGCCACAAAGACTCTTCCCATCTCTATTTTAAAGAACATGAAACTGAGGTCTAGAGGTAGGTCTTCAGTCCACCCACACTCAGCAAAGCAAGGCTCCTGCCTCTCACAGCAGCAGCCCTGAAGAACAGAGTGGCCAGGATCTGCAGAGCAAGACAAAACTCTTGACCATAGATAAAAACTTCATCGTGCACTACTCAGACTACACAGTGCTACAGTCACCAAGGACCAGGCCAGGGCAGGACGGCAACAGAACCAGGAGAGGAGAGGAAACCACGACAGTGAGGGTGATTTATACAACTTTGGGGCTGCACTCTAGTGTTTATAGAAAAACTCTCTCGAGCAAGTAAGACTATGCTTGGGTCTGCAGCAGTCAAGTGAGTGTTCCTGGACAATCACCTGGCAGCATGGGAACTAGGGGGCCAAGTGGGGGGGGGGTTCCAGGGGGTGTTTTTTTTTTTCCTTTTTCCATGTGTGCATGTAGGCCCAAGGTTGATGCTGGGAGTCATCCTTGCTCACTCTCCCACCTTATTCACTGAGGCAGGGTCTCTCAAGCAGAGGTTACTAATGTGGCCAGTACTGCTAGCTACCTTCCTTATTCTGCGGATCCTGTCTCCACCTGGAACTACAGGTGGGCTGCTACATCCGCCTGGCACTTACGTGAAACACCAATCTTCATGGTTAGGTGGCAAACACTTTAACCGCTAAGCCATTTGCCAGCCCTTCCTGGCCTGGACCATCAGATGAGTTGTCTCGTGTACGCACAGCTGCTGTGAAGAAGCAACAAGACCAGGCTCTGTGACACCTGCTTTCTGGGGCCTGGTTAAGTCCTGTGTCAGGCAGACAGGAGCTTGGTGGGTGCCCCAGATACTTACAAGCCTGAGAGCATCCTCAGATGGTGAGGACGAGCAGAGCCCTCTGGAGATCCCAGCCCTGGACTCTCAGCTCTGTCATGGGTCCAGGGACCACCTCATCTCAGGCAGAGCAGATGGGAACAGAGCCAGACGGCCAGAGGAAGACTTGGAGTCCAAGCCAGCTCTGTACCTTCTCTCTAGAGAGGGACAGTAGCAGATGCTTCTCAGGCAGGGTCCCTGGGACAGGCAAGATGGATGCTGGGACCTGCTGGGGCAGGGCTACAGGCCAGAGGTCAGGAAGAGTCACAGGCAACCAACAAGGCAAAAGTGACCACTTGGTCTGTCACCAGGCTGGGCACTGCCTTCAAGCCTTAAACCCTGCAACCCATCACAGGCTTGGGCGGCCCTGGAGATAAGAGGCCCCTGGGCCTCTCCAGCAGCTTCCCTACTGGGTGATAAGCACAGTCTGTGCGGGAGCTGATAGGCAATGGCTACCACGGCGGTTGGCCAGCGGCCACTTATCAACCCCATCGCTGCCCACTGCACAGAAATTCCTATCTGTGGGAGCTGATAGGGCACCGCCTGGCCCCTCAGGATGCAAATAACTCTGGAAGCCGGGGTGCACCCTGACCCCAAACCACAGCCCATGAGGCATGGCTTTCACAGGGGGCAGGGCCAGCCTTGCTTTTCCATCTAAGAAAAGAAGTAATAACGCTTATGTTGGTGAGGACGGTGGTAATGTTTGACACTGTAGAAGATGACCTCGCATCTGGACCTCTGTAGCAACATGCAGTCCCCAGCCAGTGATGTGGACTGCCTTTCCCTGCCCTCCACTCAAGTGGGCATGACACTGTGTGGCCCCATGAGGCTGATGTAAGGACCATTCATGCCTTCAACCTACTTAGTAGCCACTGAGGTCCATAGACACACAAGGATCCCTGTCCTGCCCAGCAGGCATTGTCCACTTTATGCATGTGGACATGGAATAGGACCCACAGGGGTTCCTGGTGCTGAGTCAGTGCTCATGGAACCCCTTCTCTCTGGAGAAGCTGAGTCAGCATAGGGCTGGTTAGAAGCTGGACAGTCTGAACACAAGGCTGTGCCCAGCTCCATGGCTTTGGACACTGACCTGAGTGGAAAAGGCTCTGGGACTCATGTGATCTGGTACAATTACTCCCACCATGGTACTGAGATCTGGGGACACTGGCCTCTGCTGAGACAGGACCCTGGGTCAGTGCCCAACTCCTCCCAGGAACTCCCAGGAGGAGTGGACATCTTCACTATACACTTCCACCAGGCCACCTAGAGCCTTGCAAGGCGGCTAAGCATCTGTCATGCTAAGGGGTGGCAGAGGGGAGTACTCTGTGACAAGCAGCTATGGGACATTCTATGAGTGGATCAATTTCCACACAGGGTCCCAGTCCCCATTCTGGCTGTGGCCTTCTAGGTCAGCCCCCCCTCTCTGGTCTCAGGCTGTTACTCCATTGTGCACCCCTCAGCTATACCTGCCACTCATTTTCTTTCACACTGGTGGCAGACATCATCAATTGACCTCTGCACTCTTCTAATGCCTTAGGACTCCACAAAAACGTCCATATGTTCAGTTAAGAGTCCATTTCTATCCCTTCTCAATTTGGTTCTCAAGTTCCCCAGAGGAGGGGCAGAGTGTCCGCCCTGGGAAAGCATTCTCTGATCCTTCAGCAAGACAAGACCCTTGGCATGCCTTCTATCTGCAGGCCGGAGTCTGGATGTGACACGCCTTCAGTAACTGCGCACACATGTGCCGCCCACCCAGGTGCTCAGCACCTGTCCCGCTCCTCCCTCACTGAGGACCACGCCACTTAACCTACTTCACCTACTTGGGCTGTACAGTGGCTCTCGGCCCTCAATAAGAGCCCTGGGAACCACTGACGCCCCAACCATGCTCCTGGGCCACGGTATCTGTTTATCAGAAGCAAGGGCACCATGACTGCCACATTCTGGGGCCTGTGAGGTCTGAGATCCAGCTGCCAATGTGACCGGCGGCACACACTGCCTGAAGATGTGCAAAGGTACAGGCTTGACTGGCTTTTTGTGGGGCAGGTGGTAACCAGGAAACTCAGGTGGGCTGCAGCCCCCAGGAAGAGCAGGTCTCCATCTCACCAAAACCTGAGCCCACCTGGGCACTAGCCAGCTTAGAATATCAACCATCTGCTTCTGGGAAGGCCTCAGACCAGCAGCTCCAGACACATCCTCTAGATACCCCTCCAGGCATCTGTTCCTGCCATCTCTCAGTTCTCATGGCCAGCCACCCCAGACCTTCCAAATGCTTCTGTCTACACCACAGGCTCTGGGCATGGGCACCCTGGAAACCAACTCATACCACATTGCTTGGGCCAACTACATAAAGCTGGGCACCAGTGGTCTCCAAGAACCCAAGATCCCTGGATAGCCTAGTCCCTAGCTGTCCAAGGTACACTGGGGGTCCCAGAACTGCTGTATTGGGCTAGTCAGCCTGGTTACCTGGCCCACTCCAGGGACTAGCCATGGCTGCCTCTTCTTTTTTTTCCTCTCCCTCTTCATCCTGGGGCCTCATCTCCAACTCCTGCCCCTCCACATCCTCAGGATCTTCTGGGGACGCAAGGGGTGCTGGCACTGTCGGTGGACTCACATCTGTAGAGAGGAAAATATTGTCAGGTCCTTGCTGGGCTAGCCTGTGACCAGGAGGGAAACTGAGGCTAGGGGGAAGTCACCTGCCCTCCTGCCTTATCTAACACTTCAGGTTTTCTCTGAGCCTTGTAAAATCCTCAGCCCCACTGATACAGCAGTAATAAGTGTCCCTTAGCTGCCCTGTCTGTCATAGCCCAGCGCCCACCCGGTGCACCTAGGCCTGTGGCCTCTGACTCACTGGTCTCTGCAACAGCTGGGCCCCTCCATCAGCCCTGCACCCAATTCTAGCCCAAAGGGCATGTTTGCCTTCCTGGCAGGCCAGATAACCAGTGTGGCCCCCGATCGATGAGCTCCTGTAAAGCCCCCCGGGGTGACGTCATGGGACCAGCAGATTATTAATACCACGATAAGGCTGTGATTAACATCAAATAAATCAATCCCACGGTATAAAAGTCCTATTATTTTTGGCTATAAATCAAAGTGGCTGGCATCTGAGCTCCAGCCACCGAGAGGAGCCGTGCTGGACCCGCCTGAACGTCAGATATGCTCTTGCACCGTTATCACGCCCATCACTGCTTTATCACGGCTGCGGTGCCAGGTGCAGGCCTGGCTGTTTGTCCCAGATCCTTCCCGGCCCCACCCGCCTACCCCCTCAGCAGCCCCAAGTCCCCAATCAGATAAAGGCCAGCTCCCCGGGAAGCTATGGGTCAAAGTCCAGCAGCCGCCAGCCACTTGCCCTTTGGCAGCTCGGCCACGGGCTGCATTAGTGCAGCTCCTGCTGGTAGCGCTGATGGTGAAGGAGATAAGGTGCCTATGAGCATGGCACCTGCTCTCCCGGAGGCCACCCAGTAGAAACTGAGGCTGAGAAGTGGTCTAGGCCCAGCCATAGCTTCATCCCTCATGCTGTATGCCAGGAAAAGAAAAGAAAACAGCAACAGTGAATAAGGTCTCGACCAGAGACTGGCCTGGCACCTGCCACCCACCTGGGTGGGTGACCCCAGGAAGCTGAGGGTGATGAAAGTCAGGGTTTGACCCCCAGGGCTGTTGCCAAGGAGAAGCCAGATTCTTAGGCTGGGTGCTGGGCTTGGAATGAAAAAGGGAAGGAGGAGGGACCCTGGCCTGCAGCCACTCAGTCAGGGACTGATACACTGATGGGGTGCACAGTGGAGCCTACAGGGATGAAAGACTGTTCCCATTCAGATTCCTGAAGATCCCCCTGACGAACCCTTCTGTCATCACTGTCATCCTAGCCCTCTTCCTCCTTCCTCCCCTCTACACTTGTGTTTGTGTATGTGTGTGTGTGCCTCTTCATGTATGGTGGCGAAAGAACAAACTTGGAAGTCCTTCCTTAGATATTGTCTGTCATTGGCTTAGGACTCACCAATCTGGCCAGACTGGCTAGGGAACCCCAGGGACACACCATGTCCACCTTCCTAGTGTGGAGATCATAAGATGCAGCATGCACCTGGATTTTGCAGAAATGCTGAGGCTCAAATCAGGTCCTCAAGCCAGTGTGGCAAGCATGTTGCTAACTGAGCCCTTTCCCCATCTTGAACTCAGTGGCCTCCAAAACACAGGCGAAGTGCTGATCTCCCAAATACTCTGCCTCCTCGAGGTCCCTTTTCCCAGGGCCTCAGGGGGCATCTGAAGTCTCAATGCTCTACATCCAGCTCCTGGCCTGAACTGGCCTCCTAGAGTCTGGGTGGTGTGGGGGTCTGTGGGGTTTCATTCTGTGGCCTCTTCTCAGCTTCAGAAATGCGCTGACCTGGAAAACGGCAACCAGGAGGCCCTGTTGAGTCTGAGGAGGTCACGTGGGTGAGAAAAGGAGATGACGTGACAGTGGGGTGCATCTAAATCCAGACCTAGATTGGATCCTTGTTAGAGTGTGGGCTGTGTGACCCCAGACAAGCCTCTTAACCTTTCCAGGCCTCAGTCCTGCAGTACGGCACACACAGTATGTTCCTTTCTTCTATAGAGCCTCACACTCTCCCTGGGGTGCAGCTTGATCCTGTGTATGGAGCCCGAGCCACAGCCCAGCAGATCTGATGGACACCCTTTCACAGATGTAAATAGGCTGTACCGGGTGGCTGTGTGGCTCAGTCGTCTTAGCACAAGTCTGAACCTCAAACTCTTGCTTGCCCAGCAGATGCCCTCCCTACCCTGGCTCCCTCTAGGTCCTGAGGACAGCAGCCTGCTGAGACCCTCTGTCCTCCCATGAGCTCTAGGCAGGATGTTGATGTGCACACTCACCTTCTCCGGGTGGACTTGGGGGCTCCTCTATGGCCGGGGGCTCTGGGGCTGTGGCTTCCTGCTCCATGGTGCTGATGTCCATGGCTTGGGCTTCCTCTCCAGCCTCCATGTCTCTGAGGGAACCTGTGGACACGAGCCCCAGGAAATCATAAGCTGCTTCTGGATAAGGTTACCCTGGTTTCCTAAAGGTCACACAGGCTTAGCTTTGGTGCCCTGGGTGGAGGGGGTAACAGGATAAGGGCAAGGCCAGCCACCCACTGAGACAAAGGCTATGACATCTTCTGGATTCCCTGGCACCTAGCATGTGAGCTTCACTTCATGTTTTCTCCCACCCCACAACAATTCCTAAGCTTTGGGGTCACCTGATACATGTTCTGTCCTTGCCCTTCCTGTTGTCTGTCACCCCCACCCCCAACAGCAGGTAATGGACACCCTTCTTGCCAGAACAAGAGTCTTAGCCCTTCCCAACCAGACCCTACCAACAGAAATCAACATGGGGGTCCTTGTGGGCTCAGATGGGTGCTGCAGGCCTTCCTGCCTCACAGGCTCACACACAGACTCATAGGGCCACACAGCAGGCGTGTCTGCTTATGGCTTTCTGCAGGAAAACTCTCAGGCCCCACAAGTCAAGCCACCCTGCACTTGGGGTTTGGTCCAGGGCTCCCCCAAGAGTAAGTTCTTGTGCCCACAACATTGGGAAAAACATGATGGACACAAACGTGGCAAATGTATGATGTATGGACAGGGTCAGGATGCAGGTAACCTTCACAGAGGTAGGCTAAGCATCTTCCCTCCCTCCAGAGGAGCTGGGGCATCCATCGTACAGTGGGAGATGGGTAGGCTGGAATAGGCCCCCAGAGTCACAATGACTCCCAGAGGACCCAAGCACAGGCTAGGAGTGACGCAATCAATGAAGTCACCATAGGGTATCAGCGACGGGGACAGAGAACTGAAGCTCACATGAAATCCTCACCTAGCCTGGCTCCTACTTCATGCTCTTTAGCCACAGCTTCCAAGGGGCTATACCTGTCCTGTCATTTTGTGGTCACTGAGGAGGGAAGAGCCTGAGTCTTGGGCACACCCATTGGCATGGGAGGGGCCTTGAGTCTCACAGCAGCCAGACCTCAGGGCACTAGAGAAAATAAACCACAAGGCCATGTGTCAGAGTGCCTGAGGACACCTGAGGGTGAGGTGCCTGCTCCTGTGTAGAGAGGCAGGCAGAGGGCATGCAAGGGCCATCTTTGGGTTTTGTTTTGTTTTTCAGACAGGGTCCCATGTATTCCAGGCTGGCCTCGACCTTACTGTGTCAGTGGTTCTCAACCTGTGGGTCGCAATCCTTTTGAGGGGATTGAATGACCCTTTCACACTGGTCCCCTAAGACCACTGAAAAACACAGATATTTACATTACGATTCATAACAGTAGCAAAATTACAGTTATAAAGTAGAATGAAAGTAATTTTATGGTTGGGGGGTTCACTACAACATGAGAAATGGTATTGAAGGGCTGCAGAATTAGGAAGGTTGAGAATCTCTGTTCTGTGTAGCAGAGGCTCCCACCTTCTACCCCCTGAGTGCTGCTGGGATTACAGGCACACACCATCACACTGCAGTGTGGGGGACCTGGCCCAGGGCTTTGTGGATGGTAGACAAGTGCTCTACCAACTAAGCCACGGTCCTCGCCACTTCAGAGGCATTTCTGGAGGTCAGCCAGTATTTTCAGGCAGGGGTGGACTAGGATGCACCCCTTTGATGCTTAGGGGTTCCCAGCCTTTCACAGCCAATGAAACCTGACTCTCCCCAGAACCATGGCTCAGACTGCTCCTTCTCAGGAGGAATGGAGGTTCCATGGGAAACCTGCAGGCTTGTGATAGGGCCATCAATGTCAACACGTTTCAGTCTGCACCCAATACTGAAGCCAGTGTGGGATCCATGGTACTGGTTATGTCAATGGAATGGGGACCCATGAGGATGGAATAGAGGCCATCTTTCAGATGTGTGGGGGGGGGGCAGATTTCTGTGTCTGAAGGACTATGGTGGCTGTAATCCTGACCATATAACTGGGGTCAATGCCGTTCTGTTCACACTGGCCTAACATGGCCAGACACCATTCTAGGGTATGGGGTCTCATGTCACTGGACATTGCTTGTGGCTCCTGGGTGCAGGACAACCAAAGAACCACAGTTGCTCCTAAGCCAGGAATAAGCGCAAGTGCAGGAGGTGAGGCCAGGAGCTATGATGTGTGGGAGAAGGTAGCTGTGACGGTGTGTGGTGGGCGGGAGTGAGAGGTACAAGTCAGGTACTGTTGGGCTCTGAGGTCTAGAAGAGAGGGAGTCTGTCTTCAGCCGGGGCACTGAGGTGCTATCACAGGTCTCAGAAAGGTGGAATAAGGTAGGTTTCTTAGCTGTAATTGTATGGGTGCTAGTTCTCGACCCACCCTCCCAGAATCTGTCCCAGCTATACTGCTATAGAAGGGTGGCAGGCAGGACTCAGGTCTTCCAGAAACAGGGCTAAGGCCCACAGTGGCAGATTCAGGGTAGGGTGGACACATGCCTTGACCCTTATGACCTTACACCAGGGCTGGAAAACAGTGCTGTGGGGGGGGGGGGACCCACCCTGAGCAGAGCCACTGTTTAGGCTGCTGAAGACTGTCCTGCTGAGACCCATGCACCTGAAGGAGCTTTTTGCCTCTCCAGGGGCTGGAAGACACCCAGAGTCTCAGTTGCCTGTTCCAGCAAATGGGATTAAGCCTGTTCTCAGGAACTCTGGGGCTGACACTGAGCTGGATCAATGAGGGGCACAGCTGAAGGATCCTTCCCCCATAACATTATAGAGACCAACCTGCTGCCCACCCAGGTGGCTCTCCCACACCCAGGCGCCTGGAGCTGGGATGTTCCTCCATTTACAAGAACAAAGGCGAGCGTTCCTCACAAAGCCGTGTGGATGAGCGTGGAGAAAGGAGCCGGGCTGCAAGGCGGCTCATTCTGATGTTGTTAATTCAGTTCCAGAACAATTAAAATAGCTCTGATAATTCAGGAGACAGTCACCACTGGCAAACAGAGTGAGCCCATGGATGGGATGTGACACTCCTGCCTGGGGAACCATGGCTTCCTGAGCCCTCATTTGGCT